CACATACACAGCCTCTTTCCAATATGCGTGTGTGTGTGTGCGTCTGTCCGGGTATTTCAACTCGGCACCCAAGCAAACTCCGGCGCCAAAATTTTGCGAGTGGGTTCCCCGGGCAAGTGCCACCCCAGGACCGCGGTACCTACCCTCAATCACGCCTAGGCCCCGCGTACGAGCGGCTCAAAGTTTTGGCGGAAAAGTCGCTAACTCGAGAACCAGAAAAGCTAGAAAACTGAAATTTTGGGATTACGTTTTCAGTCCAAGTAGAACTCAAAGATTTCAAATTCAGCCCCCGGGGTTCGTGGTTCCCGCGTACGACCCCCTGAGGGTTCCTGGCGAGAAGATCGCTAGCTCGGGAACCAAGAAAGCTGGGAGGCCGGAAGTTTCAGGAAATGTTCCCAACTCATCTACAACTGCAATTTATCAAATTTAGCCTCCAGTGCGCAAGGCTGCCACGTACGGCCCGTGAAAGTTTTTGGCGGGAAAGTGAATTACTCCGGAACCAGGGAAGCTGGGGGGCTGAAACCTTCAGGAAATATCCCCAACTCATCTGCAACTTCAATTCATCAAATTCAGCCCCCCAATGCGCGTGGCCACTACGCAGGGCCTCGTGAGATTTTCTGGCGGGAAAATGAATAACTCCAGAACCAGGGAAGCTGGGAGGCTGAAATCTTCAGGAAATGTTCCCAACTCAACTACAACTTCAGTTTATCAAGTTCAGCCCCTCAATGTGCGTGGCCATCACGCAGGGCCCCGTGAGACTTTCTGGTGGGAAAATGACTAACTCCAGAACCAGGGAAGCTGGGAGGCTGAAATTTTCAGGAAATGTCCCCAACCCATTTACAACTTCAAATTATCGAATTCAGCCCCCCAATTTGCGTGGCTGCCACGTAGGGCCCCGTGGAAATCTTCGGCGGAAAAATGAATAACTCCGGAATCAGAGAAGCTGGGAGGCTGAAACTTTCAGGAAATGTTCTCAACTCATCCACAACTTGAATTTATCAAATTTACCCCCCTCCCCCTCCCCCCGTTATGCGTGGTGGCTATGCACGGTCCCATGAAATTTTTCAGCTGCAGTTTCGGTAACTCAGGAATTGAGAAAGCTGGGAACCTGGAATTTCAAGAGAATGTTCCCCGTCCAACTATAGCCTGGATTATTAATTTCCCGAAATTCGCGGTCCAGTATGTATAGGAGGTTCCTAGCTAGCGGAATTTCGATTAATTTTATTACAGCACGAAACACTGCAAAAACGCATGATCGCACGGGCGCCCCAGTGCGCGTCGCCAGTGATTCTTTATCACAGCAGCTACCATATGTGTGAACGCATGTAAATGTCGAAAATTTTTTTGCACCGCACGAATTCAACAATATGTTGCAAGAAAAGACACTTTAAATCCGTTGTACGTATTCTGCTACCACAATGAAGCATAGAGTTTCTACCGAAGTAATGGCGAACTTTGAAACGTATTTCGGGGCAATTGCTTGCCACTTTGAAAGCAAAACGTCGAATTCAATCTTTAGATTGGAGATATGATGCAAATGAAAGACTGCAGCAATAGTAGAACATATGAAAAATTTACCACTTTTTGAGGAGAGAAAACGGCAAAGCTGTACACAACGTATTTAAAAAGAATTTTTCGGTCGTGTTTTCATCGCACCCAGCTTTAATCTCTTTGTGGCCCACGGGTGAGCTATTATGCAGTTAATCCCTTCAAAAGTCGAAACATTACATCAGAATGACCGGGAAACTGACCAAAAGATGAATGCAACATTAGTTACAGTGTCGGGAAAAGTCAGCTGCATAGTTAGACAGCGGAACAACGAACTGCTGCTGATTGAAATTCAAGTCATTTTAAACACGCGTTTGTTCAAACAAAAATGCCACCCTAAAACCACATAATTTCAAGCGCACTTTGCTCTAGAGGTAATATGCAGCCCGTAAGAAATATGCATGCAATAAAAATGAAATTAAAAGAGCAAAGAAAATTAAAAGGATGCATTTTTCCTGGAGATGAAAAATCCCCGACTTATTTAAATATCGCTTACAATAACCAGCCCTTGCATCTATAACTGCACAGGTACTAGCCCAACAATAAATTAAAAGAAAAACAACTTGCGCTTGCATAGCTTAACCGGGCACTGCACGGTTTACTAAAACTTGCTAAAGCTTAAATTGCACTTCCTGCGCGACTAAAAGATTACGTTAGCATCAAGCGGTTTGCATCAATAGTCGGAACAATTTTGGAAGCGTGAACCAAGAAGGCGAAAGTAAGAAAAACGAAAGAAAAATCCATTAGCTTATCCGATGCCCGAAATCGCCACTTCGCTACAAGTATTTTTGGTATGCTTAAGTCAAATTAAAGATTAAAAAAGGAAATATCAGGAGACAAGGGAAAAAAGGAAGAAGAGGAAAAGGATATTATAACAAGTAAAGGGTATAAAGAAATATTTTTTATAGGCAAGAAATGTTTCGGTCCATTAAGTCGTATACATTTCTCACCGTTACCACAATTGGACCCCGTCAGTACGACGATTGTGGTAACACAGTTATTTAGTAAGGTATATAAATTAGTTAAGATAAAAAGATGTAAAGTAGAAGAAATCAAAGTAACAGTCGAAAAAGAAAAATATGTGGTGCAAAAGAAGGTATAAAATATGTAAAAAGGGAAAAGAAAAGTAAAAAAAGTAAAAAGGACAGAGAAGCAGCTGCAGTGACGAATGACGTGTGTGAGCAAATCTTTGTGGGTCGGGTTCAAGAGAATATGAAGGTAGATAAATAGAGCAGACTAGAAAGACGCACTACTGTATACCCCCACACATATACGCGTAAATATACAAAGGGTAGAATTGTATGAGAATAGCGATAAAGACTAATAATAATAATAATTATAATGATAATAATTGAAAACGGCCATGTACTAAAATGTGGCAAATTAAAATATAGGAAAGCAACATAATATGTGTTTAGAGTATTATAACGTTTATTTAAAGCGATTCAATATGCTAGTTTTTATTTAAATTAAATTTTATTTAAATCTGGGCGAATGGTAATTATTGAGCAGAAGTTTAAGGCAGTGTAAGTAATTTAATTCAATTGACATTGAGATTTAAGTGTGATAGTAAGTTATTGATATTATTGGAATTTGGGTAAAAATATTTTGAAAAATCAAATCTATACCGAGAAAAGAAAGATAGAAAGGAAGGAAAGAAAGATAGAAAGGTCGACATGTTTTATAAAGTTTATAATTTTCAAATCCACGGCTTTTATAAGTTCAGTTAAGGCTTTAGCATTTTTTATAAATTTTTCATAAATAAAAAGCAGCTCGAAGCTCCATTTAAATGTACGATTTCCCAGATGAGCGATTAATATTCCAAAAGGAATACAGCTATTGTTTTTTGACCAGTTTTTGACTTGGCATATTTGCTAGCTATGAACTCTTATGACCGTATCATGCATGCCTGCGATAGCTGAATTTCAAATCCTCAACTCATACATTGACAATAAATGTATGTGCAAATACCAAGCTTCCTGTTCTTACCGACTCCCAGAATTATTCCTTGCTAAAAAATTTACATATTTTTTGGAACCCACACATGAGAACTATGCACGCATAATCGTTAACAGGGCTTGACACGTGCAGAAATACGCTGCTACAATTTCAGCCGCTCAGGTTCCCATGTATATGAATTAGAAGTGGATGACAGCAACACAATTGACTCGCCTCCGAACAGACACACACACATACAGCAAAGATACATGGAGAGGGGAGAGAATTTTTCGATAATATGCGCTTTTGGACTTGCACTAAATGTAAAAACGCATAAAAATTACTTTTAGTGGCAAATTCTGAATTGTTATTTTATCACAGCCTGTAAAAAAGGGCATGTAGCTGCAAAATTTACGCGTCTGCAACTTGATTCGTCTGTAACTGCAAAATTTTCACATCTTATGGGTTTCACTTTGTTGCTGTCTTCCTTTAAAATTCTTTTTGGTGGAACCGGCGCACCGGGCCTCAAGTCCGCATGCGACGCTGCCAACTACATTCTTTAAAAGTTGTTCAGGTTAGCGAAGTAGATGCTCAGACTTAGCACGGAGCCCCAGATATTGTAAGAAACAAAGATCGAACGCTCCTTTTCTAAACCATCCGCATGCACTAATTCCTGTTTATCATCCGTTTCCGGATACCACACAATTGCCGACTCTTGCAAAGGCGCTGCCGAGAGTGAAACAAGTGGTAGAGGACCTGCAGACAGCTGCGAGAAGGCGCTCGTCCAGTCAAATGCCAGAAGCATTACAGGGATGTGCAAGCAGTGAGCGCAAGCATTCGCATCCAGACCTCGAAATACGTGCTTCAGTGCAGTCTCAGACAGTTGCCATAGCTGGATCTTGTTCAGGGCATAATCAAATTACACCAGTGCAACCCTTTCCGCAACATGACCCAAGCTCTGACACCATCCCGCCAAACAAACTCGCGCGAATAGAGAACTTGCCCAGCACATATTCAGATCCAGTTCCATCAAAGAATTCTTTCGAGCCCAGAGACGACAGGAAGATAAACGAAGACGATTTTCCACAACTAGCTCCCATGGCAGGTAGGCCTTTTGAAAATATACAATCAATTATGTTTCGAAAGCAGAAGCTTTAAAATGCGCTTGCCCTAATCAGCGGTTACTTTTGAAACTTTTTTTGTGTAAAGGCATTTCGTTCCTCAAAACCGTACAAGTCGCAGCGCATTTGCACCTCCTCATTACATTATTATTACCTTTCGATGGAGCCCCTTTCGGGATTAAGTCCTGTTTTGTAAATCAACATCTACGTTTTCAAAATAAAAAAGGAACGAATAGCGTAAAAGGAGAAAGTCGGGATGTTGGAAATGGATGGGCATATTCATCCTAAAAAAGTTATGGCCTTCTTCTTAAAGTTGAAGCTAGCTCAGCTTCATTTTAAAGAATTCTGATTATCCCCAGCAATCAAAGTGGATTAAATTAGCTAATAATCTTGAGATTTTCACTAAAAAATAGCCGTGCCGCGGTGGTTATAGTTTCACTAATCGCCTTGCAAACATTCGTTGAAACAGAAAATCCTCGGCAGTTCCCTCTTATACGCATTAATGTCCCAGTTTCTTTGGCGTTCAGACGCCAAAAAAAAAAAATTTGTGTTCAAATCGTCACTGCGAAATGGATCAGTTGACTAAAATTTTGCTCAT